AACATGCCCACTGCCCCCCTACCGCCCAAAACAAGTTCACTGCCCCTCAGCATCCTCCCACTGCCCCCCGGGGGGTGGTACCGCCCCCATTGAGAACCAATGCCATAGACCATAGCCAGTACAGAAGACACCAGGTTGGGGAGACCTGCATTAGTTTAAACCTTACTTTTGTACTAACCAGGATTTGCTAACTAGCTGAGACTTCATCGTGAGATAACAGAATATCACATTCAGCAATCAAGTTCACATATGATGCTAAGTTATTATATGCTTTAAGAATGGTTTATCAAATCACAATTGACTGTATTCATGTCCCAGATGAAACCATAAATCATGGTTTAGGAGTGGGTTCATATGACATGAATAGCCAAAACCAAATAAATCATAGTATTGTTTGATACAAATTCTCTCCCCCAATCAAATTTACCAAATCAAGGGCAAGGAGTCAACTCACTGTGGCTTAACTTAATGGTGTAACTTCAGAAATAATCAAGGAATTAAAGAATTATAAGACAGTGTGAAAGAATTTAAATCTTGCTCTCAATATGTTTAACTTTCTGGTAGCTTTGTATAACCTATGAATTCATTAACAGATAAAAAGGTCCAAAGGTACATCTTGTTATACTGTATACTATAGAAGGTATTTTCTGCTTATAGATGGGGTTATTTTATACCTTGTACAAATGTTGCACAAGAGAGATGTTACTCAATTCAAATATATCCTACTTATGCCCAATCTTGCCTATGAGAGAGAACTGCTACAGAACCTATTGTAGACTAACCTACCTTTTGCATGATTGAAGCATTAGGGGGGCAGCAAATGATTCTTCCTTCTTTACATTGAGCCTATTGAACTTAAGTGTTTCATAGCCATCTGTTAGCAATCTTGCCATTATGATTGTCTATCAAGGGTATATGCCAGCTAGGCTGCTGCCCATCTCTGTCACCGCCTTACTTGGGCAATAGTGGTTGACTGACATCCTGCTATAAATACCAGCCCAAGTGACAATTGCTTGGCAGGCAGCAGAAGACAGAGATCAAAATGAGCAAAAGAGTATTTGTGAGATTGGACTGAAGAAGAAATATGGAGAACTTAAACATCTGCTTGCTGCTTTTATATGGCATGCTGAGCAACAAACCGCCCTCTTGTGTTGTGTCAGGCTTCCAGGATATTCTGTTCAGTGTGATTAATGTTCAGTGCATAAAGCAAGGCAGATAATTGTATTGGTTGAATACATTTGATTAAGCATGAGTAGTGTGTGAGCCAAGAAGGATGGCCAGCACCAGGAGAGCAGAGGTAGATAAAACAGGCTAGAACCACATCAAATCAGACAGGAAGCAACTGGAAGACAGTCGTCATTTGAAAGCTTCCATCCCTGTTAGAAGAATTAATAGCTTTCTCAGGATGGTAGCATGAAAAGGCATTTGTTGAAAGAACTCTAAACTTTCTAACAAGTATGTTATTTCTTTTGTTGTATACAAAAAAAGGGTTCAAATTCACTAGACTAAAATATGACTGACTTGTTTGTAGCTCACTGTATTGTAAGCTAGCTTGATTAATTTATGGCTCAATGGTTATGCTTGCATGACATGTTTACCCATGATAAACTTAATCATGGCTTACCAATTAGGCTAATTTTCTCTGATGGCATGCCACATAGCATTAGAATGTAGGATCTTTTTTATCATTCTTAATTTTCTCTTTGGCTCAAGGGATATTTTTATTAGACTATCTCAGTGGCATTTAGCACAAGTAATTAAGGCTGAATCTATGATGCCCACAATATTGCATTTTCTCTACATAAACTTGTTTCACTTCTGTCAGTTTTGATCTGTGAGAATTTCAACCGTATAGTTAACATTAGTGTGCTTGCCATAATATTGCAAGCTGTGAGGCTCAGGGGCTCAGGAGATATCAAGGATGAGTACAGCAAATCATTGTGGCCTCCTCTTGATGATGTATTTGCCTCTTGACTCTAATATAAATGTATGGATAATATCTACATAATTTGGGGAAGAAAATATCATTCTGCCGAGCATTTGCATATTCTTATGTCTTACTCAAGAAAAGTATTGAGGGAAAATATTGGTCAGTCAAGACCACACAACCAAAGATAATCTCAGTATGAAGGGTTTCAAAGGGAATATTTCTCTCCACCATTTTTCTTTCCATGTTCTGTTATTGTTTCTACATTCTCACTTTGATCCAATAGACTGTCATTTACATGAATGGACAGTTCGCAGGCCAACTGTTTAAATCAATTGAGAACTGTAAAATTAATTACATATGGGGATTCTTGTGGATGATACATTTTATGAGTTGTGAGTCATCCAATTTTATCTCATTTTACTAAGTAATCTGCAACAAAAAAAATTGCAGTGTTAGCATGATCCTGTTCGGGGTTCCAGCCATACAGGCTTCCAGGATATTCCATTCCTCCTTCTCAAATTGTCATAATATGGGGTGCATTTTATGTGCTTAGTCTTCATTGTGCTGTGCTTGAGGGGGGATATCCCTTTCCAATGTTTGTTTTTTTAATAATATTTTATTGAGATTTTAAAGATACTTATTTAAAAGTTAGAAATGAAAAGGAAAATTTGAAATACAAAATATAAAGAAAAGGAAAAGAAAACGTGAGGAAAGTAAAAGAAGAAAAGATATGAAAAATAGATAACTTCCAATCTATCTCTGGTCTTAGAAATAATAAGACTATCATAAGTGCTAGTTTTTAATACATTAAATAGGAGTAATTCTTTGTT